TAGGTACTAGACAGTAAGCAACTAGGATAGTAAAGAAAAAAAAAACAAACAAAACAAAACAAAACAAAAATACAAAAATATTTAGCTTTAAGAGGGTTAGGCCTACCCTAAAATTAAGGAAAGCTCGACCTCGACACGTGATATCGAAATGGGCGGAATCGCCTCTTGATATCACTAACTCTCCTGACTCCTGACTCCTGAAGAGTTCTGCTTGCTGATTTTGGACCATAAGTTGAAGATGTTCTAGAAGTGATCATTCCCTCGCGGACCACCAGGAATGGTTATCCTATTTTTGGCGGCGGAAGGTATAACCATAAACCACTTGCATTCTGCGGTGAATTTCCGCTGGTTTTACACCTTCCGTGCCCGAATACGGATCGCACCTCCCATCTTCATTTTAATGGTGCATTTCTCGACACGTACCGCCATTTTGGAAACGTCATGGGACGCGCATGCGCGAATTGCGGTTCCTCTCCCTGTGTGCATGGGATGTACATGGGATGTATACAAGGGATTGTATCTCATTGCCACCAAGAAGACAACCGCGACGTCTGCATTACATGGGTGTTATGAATAAATTATTGTTTTTTAATTGAATCACCCTCGAGAATTTCGTTCCCAGGTTGACTTCATCCTTCTCATTATATCATTACTCACGAGGTAAAATTTTTCTGCAAGTCATCTGAACGACATATGAGTCGGCATACTGAATAATTACATTGAGTGTCGCACTATCAACACTTCATTCAATCTAAAAATTACATTGAGTTTTATCCATAGAAAAATGAAAATGCGACTCGATGAAAGTGAGCACGAGTCTCACTGCCTTCCATAGAAAAGTTAGTTTGGGAAAGACGCTCATATTTGGCATTACTACTATCTCATGCGACACCCTTTCCTTGAGGGACCTCCTCACTCAACAGGCTGCTCAGTAGACTTGGAATTTCAGCTTGAGCAGCACTGTTTGCTCAGGCAAGTGCTTGGATTTCAATTCGCTTCCTGGCATTAGATTACGATTTTAAACAGGCAAGGACCCTGGGTGATGATGACTCCGAATGCTGTTCTGATTCGAATGCCACACCAATTTAAATCCATCGTGAGAATGGAACCAATATCATGCTTGCGGGCAGACTCGCGACAGAGAAGCTGGAAATAGAAACCGTCAGGGCACTGGGGATAAATGACATTATCGATCAACAGAACACGAATGGAACGATACATTATACGATAAAAAATGCCTCGTGCCTGAGACAACACAGGCCGTTGCCAGGAGAGTCCATAGTGCATGGTACTCAGCACGAACATTCCGGTCTGCGAACGATCCTTTTATCCGCTATTCTGTTTCCTGTCTTTTCCCTTGTGGTTTCTCCTCGACACGGAGAACCCATGTCTATCATCCAGCAGCAGTCCAAATCTCTGGTATCAAAGCGATCCTGCTTCATCATCTTAGTGCTCGTCAAATTCGCTTTCTTCATAACTTTGAGCTCATACTGGGGCTGTGTATGCGAACCACCCATAGACAGGCTGGGCATGATTCATCCATCGTTCCCGGGAGACTCTCGCCTGACATCCAATGACAGTGAGGACCCGAGCGAGGGGGGAATCACGAAGAGGATCATCGTGCCGCTCTTCCCCGTTCAGGTCAGTCATGGTGACGGAAAGAGTGGTGCCTTAACGTTGCGCCTCGCCTGTTTTCGTGATTAATCGGATTTTTTTCGAATGTCGTCCTTCTTGCCCATGCTCCTTGAACATATTACACGCTATCTTCTGTGACATCAAGTCAGGCATTCTAGGAAATCAGGGCATTTTAATTAATTTGCTGTCATCATTGATCGCAGGTATCGCAAGAGAGGAGAATTTCCATCACAACGTTCTAACAAATGAACACTGAAGTACTCAAATAACAGCTGACATGACAGTATTTGCAATGCTTGTAACATGTAATTTTGAAACATGATATAACGAGTACTGTACAGAGACTGTTTCGGCAACGCTAGCTGACCCCTGAGTTGGGGTATCGGAAACCGCAGGGGGGAATGGTGCAGTGGTATGAGGGAACTTACCCCCCACTCTCCCCTGTAATCGAAGCAGGAATAATATAACGTCTAACATGATGAATCGGAACGATCTTACACGCATTGAATGCCCTTCGTCACTATTCACTGTTTTTGGGGTACTTTCCCTTCCCAGTCATTCATATTTAATCCGATCGGCAATAATAGCTGTCGGCCCTTGACATATCCGGGTAACCTACATTTGTCAGTAAATACATTCCAGCTTTCCTATCTCAGCGCTCCACTGCGCGTGGGCCAAGCCGTTTCATGTAAATGTACCATCGACAATAACAAATCAAACATTTGGAGAGAAGTGATCTCTTTTTGATCTGTCAACTTGTAATACCCTTTACAGAATATCGGAAAAGTGGTTTCTTTTTTTACCTAAAGAAAATGGCATGCCAATTCATAATGCTAGTCCTCCTGTTAGCATGACTATTGAAACTGAATATTAAAAATAAGAAAGCGAACACTTCCGCAGAGGCAAATGGGGAAGATGCGTCATTGCAACCACACCAACTGCTAAAACTTGCTTTTAAATCATTGGGTAAACTTTTTTACTTCATGACATTGCTGTCATTCATGTACTGAAATCCCTGAAAAGCGATTCTTGATCAGATGTCGCATTTTCCCTCTAGCATATTTCGCTGCATTTACTCAATCATGAGAAAAGAGAAGTAAAAAAGAAGACAGTAGATTCTCAGAAACTCTGAATGAAAACACTATTTTCACTATGTTCACTATTTGCACTATTTTCAAGCAAAGATTTCTATTCGTGAAAGATGAATTAAAAAATGGTAATCATGTGCACATTGCTCAAAGGCATACTTTCCACAACAAATAAATTTCCTTAAGCAAGAATGTGAGTAGTGAAAAAAGTGTCATCGCATTGTGTGAGGGAGAACTTCAACTCTTCACCCCAACGTCTTCCACATTTGATAGAGAAACTTGTCTTTATCAGGTTTTACCCGTTGTCTGTAATTCGACGGTGATCCGTGAATTCCTGCGTTCGACGGCAAGATATTCATATTTCATTGCGTCTAACTTAATCGCATCGAAATATTTCTTGAAACCGTTTAAAAACGTTAATCTCTATCATTTACTTCAGGATCAGCCAAAAAAAAGAAAAAGCCGTAATAATACTGTACGTGCACTCGTGCAAAGCCAATAAGAGAAGCCTTATTGCCAGCACTTTAAACATGTTGCCATTTGTAAACATCGCTTTGTGCCTAAAACATTGGCAAAGGAGTGGAGGACACATTCTCCTTCATTGTCGTCATTTTAATATGGCATTTGCGCAGTTACTGTAGTCGAACATATTTAAATAGAACGTGGTAAAACTTGACACTATGCCTCTCCCCAACGGCCACCCATGGCTGCTGAAACCTCTACTTCCATCTTTCCCTAGTTTTTGCTCGTCTGACGTTGTTTCATTGGCACTAGGAAAATGAATATCTCATAGGAAAGGAATATGGAGCACACGAAGGGAACCATGAACTGAAAATATTCAATACATATTCCCGGTCACCTGTCTCTCCTATTACGTATGGGCGCCTTTCTGTGATCACGTTTGAGGCTGGGCAATGCCAGTTTCCCTAAGAACCAGTTCAGTCACAGTTCAGTCACAGTTCAGTCACAGTTCAGTCACAGTTCAGTCACAGTTCAGTCACAGTTCAGTCACAGTTCAGTCACAGTTCAGTCACAGTTCAGTCACAGTTCAGTCACAGTTCAGTCAACTGTTCAGTCACAGTTCAGTCACAGTCAGTTCGACATGCTCAAGGAGGAGAGATCATATGGCGGGAGCTGAATTGGTTTATTTGCATCCACAAGCGTAATGGTACGCATTGTCCCATGTCCATGCTCGATGCGCATGGCCTACTGTAGATATTCATAGGCTGGTAGGTCTCGCGAGTTAGACTAAGGCAGCACAGTTCTAGGCGAGATGGGCTGAAAATTTCCTGGATGCGAATGGGTTCAACCGTGGAGTTGCTTCTCATTAGATGGCGCTGCAAGTCTGGGCGATTCGGAGGATATAACGTTCCGAGAGTTAACGGGATGTCTTCATGGTGTCATGCGCTGCTTTCAGCAAGCTCCAAGGTGCCAGGTCTGTCTTGGCCTTGACCGAGTCTCTCTCCCTCTCCGACGCAGAGACGATGCTGCAATTTCTTCGTGGAGGCCGGCGCCCTGGACGGGAGGAGGAACTCGAAGACCCTCCATCTGGAAGAGACTTACAAGTGGACGGGGCTTCTGGTGGAACCGAATCCTCATCTGTTCCATAAAATGACGAGGCAGAAAAGAAACGCTTGGCTCGCTCCCTACTGTCTCTCGCCGACGGATGAAATCAAGCAGGCTAGTACAAACTTAAGAAAAAGTTGCAGTCACGCCTAAAAAGCGATCCACCTAGATGTACACGTACTTACAATCCATAGAAAATCCAGTTTTCGTCAATTAATTTCTGTTAATTTTTTCGTTATTTGGATGGTTCCACTGTATAGAAAGTACTTTTTCGATTGATAAATCACTTTAGGCTCTTACCATGGTGTGCGCAGAAGCATTATTTACCAAACTTAGGTTTCCCATTAAAAAATGGCACGAAAAATGTTCAAGACCATTGTGAAATAGCCCTTATGAGAATGGAATGCACGTACACAACATATAAATGAACATGCACGCATGCGAAGAATGTAAGAGTCTCCCGGATAATAATACATATTAGCATAATCAGGTTGTCTCTAAATTGACTGGAATTAGGTTTTTTTTCGCCTAGCCTATTGCCTAGAAGGGCATAATCTTGTAGGCCTCTCGCGTTCGGTCTCGGTAACAAAGGCGTTGGTTAGAGCGGCCTGGATATGTAATGACGATTTTGGGACACTGTATATGTAACGAATATTATGCACACTGGAAAACTGAATAACGCCTTTTATTACTTTGGCTGCATGCAACCGTCCAGCGCCAGTTTGGAAGGAATTGCGGCTCTTCAGGTGTTCCTGATGAGTCTAACGAGTCATGAATTCATTCGCTCTCTTAACGTGAAAGAAGGCATTTAAATGACCTACATTCAAGCAGGACGGGCTCGGCTATTCTGAGTTAGTGACACGAGGAGGATTCCTGCCACCTTGCATTGTATAGGTAAATTTGCATCGTCTTGTCTGGAAGGGTTCCTCTGGGACAGGAAAGGAATTCAACATTTGTCTTTACAAATCCTTACGGATGGTCGAATAGCCTCGTTTCCATATGACGCTGGTGTTTCATTTCTTATCTAGTGTCTGCTCGATTTCATTCTGTTTCCGACGCGATGAAAATCGTTTCACTTCTGGAACGGACGGACTCCTCCTTTTTCGGCATGTTTGTAATTTGGCAAATTTCCTGGCCAATAGGGAGCTTACCTATAATTATTGAGCTGTGTTTGGGTAGGAAATAAGGTTTTTCTGTCTTTGAGACTTGAAAGCGCGTACAAAATGCTACATTGGAAAGAAACCGAGTTTGAAAATGTTATACAAAAAAACTAAATAAAAACTCTGAATCTGAACGTTGAAAGCTGGAGGGAAAAAACTTTCCTATAGTTTACAGTCTGAACGGATTAAACCATTTTGTGCAATCCAAGCGGCCGGAACACACTCCTCATATACGCTTATATGTTTATCGAATTTTTGTGGGGATAAGACGTGAGAATAAACAGCAATTCCAGTGTCAAAATTTCCCTAAATACTAATGCCAAAATCATCTGGCGGCCATGAAAGTGCGAGGGCCCATTCGAAGTCACTCGCAGTTGGCAAGAATTTCTCCTGAGATAGAACGGACGGACTCCTCCTTTTTCGGCATGTTTGTAATTTGGCAAATTTCCTGGCCAATAGGGAGCTTACCTATAATTATTGAGCTGTGTTTGGGTAGGAAATAAGGTTTTTCTGTCTTTGAGACTTTGAGAAAATGTTATACAAAAAAACTAAATAAAAACTCTGAATCTGAACGTTGAAAGCTGGAGGGAAAAAACTTTCCTATAGTTTACAGTCTGAACGGATTAAACCATTTCGTGCAATCCAAGCGGCCGGAACACACTTCTCATATACGCTTATATGTTTATCGAATTTTTGTGGGGATAATATGTGAGAATAAACAGCAATTCCAGTGTCAAAATTTCCCTAAATACTAATGCCAAAATCATCTGGCGGCCATGAAAGTGCGAGGGCCCATTCGAAGTCACTCGCAGTTGGCAAGAATTTCTCCTGAGATCCTATTTCGAGCAAAAATGTCTACTTCGACCACAAATTGAGACTTTGTAAGAAATATCCCGAAAAGCAAAATTTCCTCAAGAGCTTAAATAAGCAACAGACAACAATGTATGACAATTGCTATGAATAGAAGGATAAAACGAAGAAAAAAAGCCACATGAACGAACACGAATATTTTATTCTGACAGAATAAAATATTCGTCAGAATAAAATATTCAAAGACAGACAGTACCAGCGAATTAGATTTATTGTAAAGCTCTCTAAACAGGAGCGATGCGAGGAGACATGGAGAATTGTCCTTTTTTTTCCCTCAAAGTCCATAAATTCTCCCAGTTACCCTTTTATGATCTATGAGATTCAACACCATTTCCCAATTAACATTTTTGTCATTTAAGGTGGGGACGTAGAAATCCATATATTTAGACTTCGTATTATTGTACTAATAATGCATTGCTCCTTCGATCCAGGAGTTGTTGGAGTATCCCTACGACCCAAACTATTCGATTGCCTCTGGGGGAAGTGCGAGCAGCAGAGAAGGGAGAATGAAGGGTCAGGGGAAGGGCAGGCCCACCAACTACGTGGCCGTGGTCAGGTGCTATCCTCTTCGCATGCTCTTGGATGCTTTGGGCATCCGGACTGTCCATTTCTTCAGCGTGGACTTGGAGCGCGTCGAACTGCAGGCTCNGGGAAGGGCAGGCCCACCAACTACGTGGCCGTGGTCAGGTGCTATCCTCTTCGCATGCTCTTGGATGCTTTGGGCATCCGGACTGTCCATTTCTTCAGCGTGGACTTGGAGCGCGTCGAACTGCAGGCTCTCAAGACTCTGCCCTTCCACCGCATCGAGTTTCAAGTGATCCAGGTGAAGTGCATGTTGGACGAGGGGGTGGAGGGAATTCTCAAGGAGTTCCTGCTCTCTCTTGGGTATAAATTGGTAGGGGAAGATCGCGGCGAGTTCATATTTGCTAATATGACCGCATTGAACGGGGAAGTTGTAAGGGGAGGATAAGGAATAAATGAGTAACATTTTACCAGATTTTCCTTTCATGCTAGAAGAAAATTCACACATTTGCAAAAATGTCTCGTCTGAACAATGGAGAATGAATTGCCACAAAACTGGAAGCATAATCTCCTGTCCATTTTTGACGTTCCGTCAAAACATGCAGCGAAACGCAGCAGTTATATTTGATATGGAATGTTCATCACAAGTTCTAATCACTTGCAAGACTGATAGTAAAGCGTAATGTGTATAAATAAGAGCATATCTGGATTCATCTTACACTTGGACTTCATCCTAAGACTTCGTACTTGATCTTTTAGACCCGCATACACCCCCTCACTCAAAAAATATGCTGGCCAAGAGGTAGAAGGCGAAACGGCTACTCCTTGGCAAACACACCCTCAGCCTGACAGTGGCAGCTTCTTCATGCTCTTCAGTGAGCACCAAAGATGAATGGATTTCAAACACTGTGGAGCAGGCCAGATAGGACTGAACGCAACATGTTACGGTTCTGCGTACGAGTGTCATACTCTCCTCTTGACCCAGCTGTCAGAAGTACTGAAAGTAATATCTAGTTACGAAAGTGTCGTGTCACCCATAAAAAAACGTTGAAAAGCAAGAAAAACCCCACACAGGATACGGTCGCGGATTTACCCTGCGTCGGTGCCGCAATCCAAACAGGCGGCAGCAATTGAGACTCAAAATGGAAAGAAAGAAAATATGAAGCTCTCTTTCCGGTAAGGAAGCAGGAATGTCGTCTCGAATCATACAACATGAGACGGTTTCAAGCGCCAGTCAATGGAGAAGGTATCAGGAATCTTCATTCCTGAAGGAGAAAGACAAAACGGGAAAAAGAGAGACTTAAAACTTGAAAAGCAAGATTTCTCATAAATCTTTAATTTACGTGAAACTGTATTCGGCTCAATCCTTGAATTTGAAGGGAAAAGGAGGAATGGACGTTCATTTTCAGGGATTCATCTCGATAACGTGAAGGGAAAATATGCATTTGACTCCAGTTAAAAATTACCAGCATAACAAGGAGAGAGAGATGGTAGAGGACTAATAGCACAGGAATATCACTAAAGAGGACCTTTTACCTGAGATGAAGAGTGAAAAGTGAAGAGCGACGTCTTTATTGGAGTCGACTGGCACCGAGGTTCCCTTGGACCGGCTCTGTGACCCGCTCTGCCAAATGTGAAATAGTGCAGGGTCTAGGTCTGGCCACTCTCCTTGTGCGACACGTTTGCCTGAATTCATACTCTATGTATCGCTGGGGTTCTGAGGCGTTACTATGAGTATGCCTTCGTACTCCAATGTTTAGCACTATTTTCTGACTGAGAAGCAGAAACTAGGCGTTTAGCACGACTAGCATTTGTTGCTAGTCTCACAAGCAGTTGTAAATGCTTGTGAGAACTCGCGATGAAAACATCAGCCTTCCAATTTTATTGTAAATATTTTCTGACTGAGAAGCAGAAACTAGGCGTTTAGCACGACTAGCATTTGTTGCTAGTCTCACAAGCAGTTGTAAAACGAACACTCTTGAGCGCTACTTTTGTAGTCGGAAGGTTAAAATAACATTTTTAAATCATATTTTGCCGGAGTTCCTTCTTAGGCGTTTTCCTCAAGAACAAGCCTGAGTTTAGGACCTCTGTTCCCAACCGTTTTCTGGCTGAGGGGCGGTGCCGATTGATTAGCTACGGACGGGAGGCTATAAAATAGTAAATGTTACGTCGCCATAAGGAAACTGCATAATTAAGGAGGCTTTGCGTCTATTGCTCAAGATTATACGATATCGTTTCTTCGAGGCCGATGTTCAATGTCAACGCAAGCCACACGAAGGATCATTCGTGTCTCCGCCCCACGCTTCGATATATCCTGCCATTCGCCTCCCATGTGCTTTTCTCCCGACTCTCGATCGTGATAACTGGACCCATGCCCAACGCGCAGAATTCCTCCAAATATCTGCTGTCTTTTCGATCGTGGGTGGTCATCCTAGTGGTCGCCCAATACACTCTTCTTTTGACATTCAGCTCCTATTCCGACTGTGTATGTGAACCACCCAAGGACAGGCTGGGCATGGTCCCTCCACCGCTCGAGGCAGACTCTCGCCTGACATCCAGGGACGGTGAGGACCCGAGCGAGGGGGGAATCACGAAGAGGATCATCGCGCCGCTCTTCCCCTTTCAGGTCAGTCACGGCGACAGGGAGAATGGCCCATCGGCGTGTATGCGAAAGCAACAGGACAATTCGTTAAATCAGGTGGAGTAAGAAAAAAGAAAGGGAATTAGGGAGTTGCAAATGGAACAAAACAACAGAACTTTAATTTTCTGTCATGCGTTACATAACGTAATTCCTTTGCTGATCAAACATTAACATCGTTTTCTGATTTCTGTCTTGCACGTTGCATTCGTACGGCAGCTGGAAGAGAAAGGACAGATCTCGCTTCCTTCCTGGCCTTGAATGTCTTTTTTTTCTTCTTCGAAATGCTAAATCGACTTTGTAATGACAGTCAGGCACCATTAGGAAGTCGCGAAAGCCTTCTTTTAGACTGCGACACGGTTGCAAACGGAGTAAAGTAATTTTTTATGAGTTCGCGACTTGGAGAGCTTATTTGTGGGGCTTTTAAGGTGCTTGTGACAGTACGGTTGAGCACCGTTTAAAAAGATATGAGGAATATTCGAATCATTAAAGAGACTAGATTACATTTAAATGTAATATATACTAAATTAAATTTTAAAAAAACTAAAGACCCGCGCTCAAGACTCGAGCTGAAGTTGTTTGGAGAATTCGGCAAGAAGGGAGGGACGGGCGAGGGGATACGAGTGGGCTCCTCCCCTGCAACTTACGCATGAATAATTTAGTGGTGGACCCGGCCTACGTATACTAACACGCGCGCTTTGCTTGAGTATTCCTTTTATTTCCGTCCAGTAATCATTTTCCATCGATTTTCTGCTTTCATAGCAGTTGGCCTCTAAGAAGCCTGCATGATAGACGTCGTGTCTGCCGATCCTTTCTGCCGTTGCAAATGTTAAAACTCATGTAGAGCTTTTTCGTGTAAATCTACCCATGGCAATGATAAAGAAGCCGGATCCGGATCCGAGGGGGAGCACCCCCCCTGGATCCGTGGCCGACAGTGATATTATCCATTTTCCCACTTTGTCACCTGTCTAACTTCACCTGCCGCGGCGGGGGATCAGACAACTGCTTCGATGGGACTCTACCGCGTGCAGGGAGAATATACGATGAACATTCGTGAGACAAGAATAGAAGAAATGAAAATTAAAATGAACTTTGGCCCCTTCCGGAATGATACATTTCTGTTTGTTAAAAATTAATTCTCGTCAATTTCCAGCAATCGTTGCATGAACCTTGAGTTCAACGGGTTATCATTCTAAGCTATATGTTCCTCAGCATACCACCTTGACACAAGAAAAAAATGATTCCCCGATGTCATCCATTACTTCCGTCGAGGTACAAGGACGTCATTTCCATCAATCACACACATCATATTGCTTGCTTTCTTTGCCACAGGCTTCACATTTTTCCTGAGTGGCAATGCCTTCGCTCCTCTCTATTCCAGCATTGGAAGACAAGCCCGGATGCTAAAGCGAATTTGGCATTATAGCAAAACTGTATTAAATCCGTTTTCCAAGCAACAACAACCAATTGCGACAGATATTAAAGAGCAACAGGTGTTATCGGCTAGCGTATGAAGGACCTGGGAATTACAGGCACCGCGCTCGCTGTCAATTGATCCGTGTCCTTCTCTGCTAGCTTGCTAGCGATGCAGCAGCTGGCTTCAAAGCGGTTGGTTTTGACTACAGCTTTGGGGAGAGTGGCCGGTTGGTAGAAATGGCAGGTTATGCTGCAGGTCCGAGAACAGCAACGATTGAGCACGTACAGTGAATGGGTACTTATCTTGATGATGCATCAGCGGAACCTATAAGACTTAGGGGGTTAACCTTTATCGGACGGATTTAAATCTCCCGTGCTGACAGCCAAATATTTCCTACGTAAAAATTAGCTTAAAATTAGCTTGTAAACACTTGCTTACTGAGCAACTACTCACTTAATATCAGAGCACTTTCACAAAAAGTTGCAGTACAACATTTATACATTTAGGCCATGAAAAAATGGATTCTGTGGCAGTAGCGACATTCGTCAGATGAAGGCTAAAGTATTTGATCCGGTTCGGAGCATGGCCAGAGCGAGTTGCGAGCGGAGGATGGGAAGAAAATAGAAAATGAAACGGGAACGGGAGAGGATCAATCTCAAATGATATGGGCTTAGGCTGCGGATTTTAAACATAAACGCTAAATGCTAATAAATCAAACGGAATTCGACTAGCTTATCATGTCCATATTCGGAGAAGCCGGTTATTCTGAACGTGGCTCAAAGAACGTTGCAGTTCCTTCCAATGAGGGCGAGAAAAATGACCGAATCAGAATAGGCAGATCTGCGGAGGAAGGAAGATTATAAAAATTATATTACAATTGTATTATGTAAATCGTTGGGCCCTGAATCAGGAAATAACTCTGGAGAAAATGGCGAGAGTCTCTGAAACAGTTGAAAATACCATGTTAACAAAGGGCGACAGATGCTTGGTTTAGCAACTGTTGCTCAACTGTTGCAGAGTGACAGACGTGTGCAACTCCGAATTTTTTCGGTCCGACGTCACTTTCAGGGGACGAAGTGTCGGCCCCATCGGTCTTTCCATGGGTTTGGGATCTTCATATTAAATATTCTGACTCCCTTCAACGCAGAATCGCCACAACAAATTTTTCGTGGAAGCTGGCGCCTTGGACGGGCGGACGATATCGAAGACATTCCACCTGGAAGAGTCCTACGGGTGGACGGGGCTCTTGGCGGAACCGAGACCTCATCTGTACAACAAGATGACGACCCGGAAGAGAAACGCTTGGCTTGCCCCGTATTGTCTTTCGCCAGAAGATGCAGTCTTACAAGTTGGTACCAACACATTATAATTACTCGTGCATGCATAATTAGCACAGCTGATGGCAATTTTCATCATCTCCGTGACGCTCTTTTTTTCGTCAGCCCACTAAGAAAGACCTTATCTATTACCTTATTAGGATTATCTGGCTTCAGGCTAATCGTGTCATGGATTTTCTGAACAGTATAAGATCAGATCGGTTAAAACATGGTTCTGCGAAAGAAAATCAATTTAGTAGACCCTTTTTGAAGACCTAGGCTAATTAATTGATTGATAATTGCCAAATGACCAATAGAGAGGCGTGATGGCTGAATTAAATTTTTTGGCAACTCCAAGTCAGCGAAGGCTCAGAACGTTTTTATAAAATGTTCTACGTTTTCAATTCCTTAAATGAAAAAAATATATTTTCCTCCGTATTTAGAGCGGAACGAAAGTTGATACGTTGCATTTCATCTACGAAGAATTTCCTTTTTGCGTTATTTTTGCACTTGCATCGGCATGGTAAGATTCACTTTGCTATGATTTATGAGAATCACAATAATAATGAAGAATGAACTAAGTATTAAAAAATATGGGAATGGGATACGCCTATTTAGGGTACTCTGTACTCTGCTCGGATAATACGCCTTGGTTCTTGGATTCAGGAGGTGATGGAGTATCCCTACGATCCGAACGATCCAATTGGCCCGTGGAGAAGGGAGGTCAGCATTGAAAGGAATGGAAAGGGTCCTATGAAGAACGGGACTACCATCTACTCGGCGCTTGTCAAGTGCTACCCTCTTCACATGCTCCTGGATGCTCTGGACATCAGGACCGTCCATTTCTTCAGCCTGGACGTGGAGGGCTTGGAACTGCAAGTTCTCAAGACTCTGCCCTTTCATCGCATCAACTTTCAAGTGATACAAGTGAAGTACCCGTTTGCAGACGAGAGGAAGAAACCTCTGAAGGAGTTCCTCCTCTCCCTTGGATATAAATTGGTGTGTGATGAGCACGGCGAGTTCGTCTTTGCGAATATGACAGCCTCGGGTTTGAAAGTTGAAGGGAGACTGCAATGAAGAAAAGAGGGATTCTAGTGAAATCTGTTTTTTTTTTAATACAGAAGCTTAGTCCGTCTAGAAGACAATGTTCTAGAAATACTTCCCTCTGACATGATACACCTTCAAAGCGTAAAAAACAATGTGAATGAATTATTCACCGTACAATAGTTTTCCTCGTCCAGGCGAGGGAGTTCGCGGTCCGTAGCATTAAGGACACTGGGATACAGACAGGCGATGATAAGAAGCGTGCAGTTGATAATGTACCACCTTCAAAATGACTTTCACCAACTTCCGTCACTTCGAATGACAGGGTTGCATGGAGAGGATAATGCATAAAGGGGGAGGCATCAGTGCATGACAATTCAACTGAAAGGGGAAAAAAAGGATGTAAATCCTGGTGTACTGCATTATCCCCCGGGAATGCATGATATTTCACTTCTCTTTCATACGGATCTATTGAGCGGGTCAGTCTTACTCGTAGACGAGCCGTCACCCAGCTATAGGTGATGAGCATTAGATTTTTGCATGGCTGGGGAGTTAGCAGAAACGAAAACGCCGATCCTAATTTCAAGACAGAGAAATGCCAGAAGAAGTTTCAATTTGGGGTTTGGATTTCTCCATTAACTTTATTTTTTTTAAATTCATTTTGGTCCTGATATTGTGCACGTGCTTTTCTTCTCAGGTTGTTCTACGTTTTGCACATTTCCCGCCATTTCAACTCATATCCATATCAAGGTCAATTACTCTACATCCGCTTCAATCTCATTGCTCTTCTGGACAATTGAGTCGCCGCGTGCCGCGCTTTTGTCACGTGAGCCGCATTTCGAGGAAAAGTAGCAATGTAAATACCTCATTGGATTCCGCTCTCGTCAAGTATCGTTTCCGTGAGTCCCATGATAGTCATATATAATAATCATATATAATAATCATATATAATAATCATATATAATAATCATATATAATAATCATATATAATAATCCCATGACAGTCATATACATGCACATTGCTCACTGGTTAGGTGTCCTCATTTATATTTAGTAAGTTGTTGAGCATAATTGGCGAAAAAAAGTTATAACCCAGCTAGATTTACTTGATGGCTAGCCTCCGGACTCACTCACTCCGGATTCACTCACCTGCCGGAATAGGATCGAAGGAAATTGGTCCCAAACGGCAGAGCCAATGCCAGATGGCGTCGGCTCATGCATGCTTTTGTCGAGCGGAGAGGACAAAGCATCAAAGTCAGTCACGAGCGAATCAATTCCTGCTACCATATGGCTCACTGAAAAAGTTAATTCTGGATTGAAATTCGCTAAGACGAAATTGTGGAGAATTTGGGAGACGATATAGATTCTTCGCTTTACGGAATGAGCATTACATGGAAAATACCTGTACAGGAAGGTAATCATGTATGTGAGAGGGACATAGGTTGCAAATATTCTGCCTCTCTAATATGATATCAAGGATTTATTTCCACCCTGATTTCCTGCGCATGGTCTGACATGCATTGCTGACCGGCATTAAAGACATTCATTTGTCTGCTATGTTTATAGCAGTGTTCCCGGTTGGCTACCATTTTTCCTCCTGCCATCTTATTTAGAAAGGGTTTGAACGATATTGCAACGCCTGCGACTCGATTATTAATCTTCATGGCAGCAAGAGGTCCAGAAATGCATGAAAGGATATCGTAAGTACATTGTTTGTGGGGTGGATGAAGGATTAAAGGATTAATTGGTGGATTAAAGGCCACGGCTATCCGGAAATTTCATCCTCGAGCATCGGGGCTCAAGAAAACAACGCCAACTCACACTTCGGTATTGACCGCTCCAACAGCGTGCTGCCATGTATTCAGGTCAACGAATTGCATCATTGAAACGAAACGGTCCCGTTGCCGGGACGATGCTTCGAGTCGGCGTACGTTGTGTGCCAAGAACTGCATTACCTCCATTCAACGATTTTCACTCGCCGATATTTCCTTCCAGTCTTTTCACTGCTGTTCGTCTCCGGCCCCAGTACTCATGGCTAATTTTCAGAAGTTTTCTACTCATCTGTTGTCGTATTATTCGTGCGTGGTCGTTCTCGTGATCGTCCTATCCTTTCACCTCTTCACATCGACATCAAACACGCGCTGCGTCTACTATCCATCCAAGGACGCGCTGGGGATGATACCTCCTGCCCTCGAAGGGAACGCTAGCCTGCCATCCAGCGACGGTGAGGACCCGAGCGAGGGGGGAATCACGAAGAGGATCATCGCGCCGCTCTTCCCCGTTCAGGTCAGTCACGGCGACAGGGTGAGATATCAGCAGGGAAAATGACGCAAAATGCCAATCCCTCCATGCCACTGTTTTATGATGAGAATAAGAGAAGGGAAGCTATAGACTTGTAAATCTCCTGAAGATTGAGACTCATTGGATGAGTCCTTCTTCACCCATGATTCTTTCCCCAAAGCGTGTGATTCGGCCGCGTATATCCATGGCTTTTGAAGACCCCAATCGTCAGATGATTTTATTGCTCCAGAGAATGCGCAACTAATATTATGGCACGTGGACTGAAAGGAATCGGCATTAGTTTCTTATCATAGTAATGCCGTTCTTGGTAAAAAAGGCTTTCCTGGAGTTCGGGATCTCCTTGATGAAAATTCCCTAGAGGATGAATAGGAGGGGATGATCCACTTCCATGATCAAAAAGGTTAACGGACCCAACCCCTATGGACGTTTTGCGTGCGGTCATGCAAAACCACTCGTGCATAATGTGAGCATTAAGAATGAACACTTAAAAAAATGTTGACGTTTTCAGCAGCGAAGAATACTGAATTTTCTTTTTTTCGAGGTTAACGAGTGCTTCGTTTCTACTATGCCTTCCACCCTTCGCAGGGGAAGAAAAAAAATGGCTTTTTACACTTCTACTAATTTTATGAGTAAAAGTTATGAAAGTGACTATATCCTTCAGGAGGAAATAAGGGTACCTGTCTTTTTTTTCCGTCTGCGTCTCAAGGACAGAGCGGTTGATCCAAATAATATTAAACTGGTGAGTGAGTCGAAATTGGGTGTCAAAATAAAATTCTGCAATATTATTTTGAAAATTACAATTGAAAATTACCAATGGCCCTGAAATGCGGAATCAAATTTTACAAATTTGAAGCTCCACCTCCAGCGAGGATGCGGAAAATATGCAAAAACAATTTTTCTCATTGGCATTCTGTTTCGTGCCCCTGTCTATTCATAGCGTTTAACATCTGGATCGTGCACAAATTTATCGAGTGTCCAAACCTGTCCACGAAATAATTTAAAACATATTTTCACCAGTTCTTCTTTGACTACGATGAAATGCCACTTTTCTTGTTTCATGTTTTCCTGAACGCTCACCTTTTCCTTAAAAAAGCACTTCAAGTCGCAGATTTTCTTCTAATACGTTACCAGTTACCATTTATAGAATGCATAGTGCAATGTTTACCTAATCCTGCCACTCATAATGTCGGTTTTTTCCTAGAGAGATCTTAAGAAGGTGACACGGTCCTTAATCTCGATTCATTCGAAGAACGAGTCCAGTAGGGAAACATGGGGCCGGTGCGGCAATTCTGCGTACCGTGCTGAAAGTCTGCGCAGATGCTTGATGCAAATAGGGGGGAAATGTTAAGCTTCCGAGAAAGAAATTTGTTCGAAATTTGGGGCATTTTGAGTCCTCCAAAAGCATTTCCCATATCGTCGAGAGGATTTCGTGCAGCCGTTCCTTCTGAAACATCCGAGGCTGTAACAACGCAAATAGTCTTTCCCCAGAGAGATGGGAGATTTTTCCGGGAGTTTCCAAATGAGCGCTTTATTTTAATTATTTCACCTTTCTCGTTCTCTAGTAGATGAAGTTATCCACCTGTGTGGACGATATAGGCAAAACTTGAGGTACGTTTGAAACCTCCTCAAAATGTTTGACCCTCTTCAACGCAGAACCGATACAGCAAATTCTTCGTGGAGGCTGGTGCCCTGGACGGGAAAACAATATCGAAAACCTTGTACCTGGAGGAAGCCTACGGGTGGACGGGGCTCTTATTGGAGCCGAATCCTCATCTGTTCCAGAAGATGACGATGCAGGGAAGAAACGCTTGGCTTGGTCCTTATTGTCTCTCACCGGATGTCACGATCATTCATGTGAGTAAAAATTCAAGTAAAAGCTGATTTATTTCACCTGGGGGTCACCTGGGGTACAAGGGAAACTTATATCGGCTTTACCTTTAGGTATAGGTACTTTTCACGAGGAATAAGATGCTAAGTTAATAGTCTTGGACCCGGACACCAGCGGAAGAAGGAATGTCGGAATGAGTTTGTCTTGAGAGACAAAATAACACAATTGCAGCATAAATCGCGAAACAGAAAATAGGCGTCTACAACCAATGCTAAACCCAAAACCCTTTCAGTATCGGTAAATGGTCATTCGTGGAGGTCTAATGATGATTTGGATTTTCGGCTGAATGTCTTGGAAGGTCTAGTTCTTTGAGGATTTCAAGGAGCATCGTGTGAACGGACGAGTATCTTCCGTTCGACCTTGAAGTTCCTAGGAAATTCGGAGATTCGAATCGTTGAGTATTCCAAAATCGAAGCTCGGGGAGCCAGAGTGGTATAGAACCTAATCAACACTTCCCAAGGAATAACAAGTAGAAATTGGAAACGAAGCAGCAAGCGCGAGGAACGCCTAGTCATGCGGATTCCATTGAGCCAGCGAAGTATTAAGCCAGCGAAGTATTAAGTCAGCGTAGTATTAAGCCAGCGAATGGAAAGATTAGTTTCGGTTACGATGTCGTGGAACTAATGAGTATTGCATATACGTGAAAATCGAATTTCAGGAGACTGCCCATCCTCTAAATCCTAAAATTAAGAAAACAAATAATTGAATGTGAATTACAAACTTAGCTTAACATGGGACTCAGAAACTATATATTTTTTTGTGCACCCTATAAAATCCAGGGGTCGGGAACCTTTTTGGTCACGTGAGCCATATTAAGATTGAGCTTGTGAGCAAAAGATTTTCAGAACAACATAATATTTCCCAAAGATGGCAACAGACATGAACTCCTTGATACATGAGAAAAATGAGGAACAACCAAGATATTCAGCCATGACTCAATGAGCCCAACTTTTCGGCTCGTCAGCCAAATTTGGCTCATGAGCCCTAGGTGCCCGGTCTATGCTATAACCTCTCGTCTCGCCGGATTAACAGGGGATGATCCTTTGATTCAGGATGTGATGGAGTATCCCTACGACCCGAACGATCCGATTGCATCATGGGGAGGCGGAATCAGCAAGAAAGGGAAAGTAAAGGGTCCGGTGAAGGACGGGACTACCATCTACTCGGCACTTGTCAAGTGCTACCCTCTTCACATGCTCCTGGATGCTCTGGACATCAAGACCGTCCACTTCTTCAGCCTGGATGTGGAGGGCCTGGAACTGCAGGTTCTCAAGACGTTGCNTTGCTCACGAAGCAAAGATGATACGGAAGGTGGGAAGCGTCCCCTTCTTTTTTTTACCGAAAAATGTGAAGATGATTAAAATACTCATTTTCAATACTTTCACTGATATAGGAAGTCCTCCTTTATTAGGTACCTGTCTCTTTTTTCCGTCTGCGTCTCAAGGACAGAGCGGTTGATCCAAATAATATTAAACTGGTGAGTGAGTCGAAATTGGGTGCCAAAATAAAATTCTGCAATATTATTTTGAAAATTACAATTGAAAATTACCAATGGCCCTGAAATGCGGAATCAAATTTTACAAATTTGAAGCTCCACCTCCAGCGAGGATGCGGAAAATACATGTATGCAAACAGTTTTTCTCATTGGCATTCTGTTTCGTGCCTCTGTCTATTCATAGCGTTTAACATCTGGATCGTGCACAAATTTATCGAGTGTCCAAACCTGTCCACGAAATAATTTAAAACATATGTTCACCAGTTCTTCTTTAACTACGATGAAATGCCACTTTTCTTGCTTCATGTTTTCCTGAACGCGCACCTTTTCCTTAAAAAAGCCCTTCAAGTCGCAGATTTTCTTCTAATACGTTACCAGTTACCATTTATAGAATGCATAGTGCAATGTTTACCTAATCCTGCCACTCATAATGTCAGTTTTTCCCTAGAGAGATCTTATAAAGGTGACACGGTCCTTAATCTCGATTCATTCGAAGATCGAGTCCAGGAGGGAAACGTGGGGCCGGTGCCGCGATTCTGCTGCTGAAAGTCTGCGCAAATGCTTGACACAAATAGGGGGGAAATGTTAAGCTTCCGAGAAAGAAATTTGTTCGAAATTTGGGGCAAGATGAGTCCTCCAAAAGCATTTCCCATATCGTCCAGAGGATTTCCTGCAGCCATTCCTTCTGAAACATCCGAGGCTGTAACAACGCAAATAGTCTTTCCCCAGAGATGGGAGATTTTTCCGGGAGTTTCCAAATGAGCGCTTTATTTTAATTATTTGACCTTTCTCGTTCTCTAGTAGATGAAGTTATCCACCTGTGTGGACGATATAGGTAAAACTTGAGGTACGTTTGAAACCTCCTCAAAATGTTTGACCCTCTTCAACGCAGAACCGATACAGCAAATTCTTCGTGGAGGCTGGTGCCCTGGACGGGAAAACAATATCGAAAACTTTGTACCTGGAGGAAGCCTACGGGTGGACGGGGCTCTTATTGGAGCCGAATCCTCATCTGTTCCAGAAGATGACGATGCAGGGAAGAAACGCTTGGCTTGGTCCTTATTGTCTCTCGCCGGATGTCACGATCATTCATGTGAGTAAAAATTCAAGTAAAGCTGATTTATTTCACCTGGGGGTCACCTGGGGTACAAGGTAAACTTATATCGGCTTTACCTTTAGGTATAGGTACTTTTCACGAGGAATAAGATGCTAAGTTAATAGTCTTGGACCCGGACACCAGCGAAAGAAGGAATGTCGGAATGAGTTTGTCTTGAGAGACAAAAAACTTATATCGGCTTTACCTTTAGGTATAGGTACTTTTCACGAGGAATAAGATGCTAAGTTAATAGTCTTGGACCCGGACACCAGCGGAAGAAGGAATGTCGGAATGAGTTTGTCTTGAGAGACAAAATAACAACAATTGCAGCATAAATCGCGAAACAGAAAATAGGCGTCTACAACCAATGCTAAACCCAAAACCCTTTCAGTATCGGTAAATGGTCATTCGTGGAGGTCTAATGATGATTTGGATTTTCGGCTGAATGTCTTGGAAGGTCTAGTTCTTTGAGGATTTCAAGGAGCATCGTGTGAACGGACGAGTATCTTCCGTTCGACCTTGAAGTTCCTAGGAAATTCGGAGATTCGAATCGTTGAGTATTCCAAAATCGAAGCTCGGGGAGCCAGAGTGGTATAGAACCTAATCAACACTTCCCAAGGAATAACAAGTAGAAATTGGAAACGAAGCAGCAAGCGCGAGGAACGCCTAGTCATGCGGATTCCATTGAGCCAGCGAAGTATTAAGCCAGCGAAGTATTAAGTCAGCGTAGTATTAAGCCAGCGAATGGAAAGATTAGTTTCGGTTACGATGTCGTGGAACTAATGAGTATTGCATATACGTGAAAATCGAATTTCAGGAGACTGCCCATCCTCTAAATCCTAAAATTAAGAAAACAAATAATTGAATGTGAATTACAAACTTAGCTTAACATGGGACTCAGAAACTATATATTTTTTTGTGCACCCTATAAAATCCAGGGGTCGGGAACCTTTTTGGTCACGTGAGCCATATTAAGATTGAGCTTGTGAGCAAAAGATTTTCAGAACAACATAATATTTCCCAAAGATGGCAACAGACATGAACTCCTTGATACATGAGAAAAATGAGGAACAACCAAGATATTCAGCCATGACTCAATGAGCCCAACTTTTCGGCTCGTCAGCCAAATTTGGCTCATGAGCCCTAGGTGCCCGGTCTATGCTATAACCTCTCGTCTCGCCGGATTAACAGGGGATGATCCTTTGATTCAGGATGTGATGGAGTATCCCTACGACCCGAACGATCCGATTGCATCATGGGGAGGCGGAATCAGCAAGAAAGGGAAAGTAAAGGGTCCGGTGAAGGACGGGACTACCATCTACTCGGCACTTGTCAAGTGCTACCCTCTTCACATGCTCCTGGATGCTCTGGACATCAAGACCG